CTCAAAACGATTTCTATTTTTCATACTCTTCTTCAATAGATTTGATTAAATCGTAGATTGAAAAATGTCATGCAAGATGATAAAAACTATTCAAATATACAAAAGAAAACAAACTCGAAGAGAATTCTATCGATGAATGATTCAAAGAACTTTTAATGAAATTTGATAATACAAGAAGTGCATTATGGTCACAAAAGTTCTTCAAAAATATTTAAAAAAAAGTTGCAATGTTTAACAAAACAAATAAATCTTTCTTGAAGTTGTTCACTTAGATTTCATCTTTTTTTTCATTTCGAATTTAAATGACTAGTAAACGCGATTAAGTCTAAAAAAATAGGTTCAAAAAAGAAAGAAGGATTTCTTTTGTTTTAATGCCTTAAAAAAAAGCAACAAAATTATATTATTATTCAACGGTGAAGAATTCGATCCATATTTTGATTGAATCTATTAATATCAAATAAGATAAGAAAGTAGACATTTTAAATTCAATGAAGATTCATTAAAAATGCAGTCCATATTTTACAAGCTTATTTGAAAAATTTACTTTTTATTGTCTTCAAAAGTAAACATTTTGCTAAACAAATTAGTTTGATCAAATGTATTGAAGTAAAGAAAATCATTTTGAAATTCAAAACATAGTGTCTGAAAAATGATCTATCATTCCGATGAAGTTTTAATAATAATTAAGAAAATTTACTTGGTAAATTAATCATATTTTATGTTAATTGATTTAACAAATAAGAACCTATATTTACTTAGGATTAATGTCTAAATGAAAAACCATTTGCATAGATCTTTTCGAATGGTTTATAGAAATCATTGGCTTCAAAATGATTTCGTCCTATATATTATCGAAACAAAAAGACGTTTTCATATCTTCTGTCGATTCCGGTGAAACTTTGTATTAATATTAATTAGTTTTTATTGATGTGAAAATATTAACAATAAGATTTATTTGTTTTGTTAAAATCTTGAATATTAATCCTACCATGTGTGATTTTATAATTACACTACTAACAGAAGAAAATGTTCATAGCAAAACTTGTCTAATGTGAACTTCATGAGCAGAGATAAAAATCGGTCTAAACAGAATAGGGAGTACCCGTTTCAATCATTATGTATTCAGTAGTATTTGCTTTTTCGGCTGAATAAAATGATTTTTCTTTTGTGTTGTTTCTGATAATTTATTAATTTAACTTTTTTTTATTAAAAGTTAATCAATACGTATTGACATGATTTGATTTTACTGGCTGTTAACACAAAAATTTCATGAAATCTATGTCATACGCAGAACTTAATTATATTCTCATTTTTGTGTGAGTATTAGAATATGTTTTTTTAAAATGTTTTATTTATTTCTCTTCCGTTTTTTTTTAATTTTATTTTTATTACGACGTTTCGAAGGACACGTGCTTCTTCGTCAGATGTTACTAAAACAATGAATTAAATTTACAAAATAAGAACACACGTATATATATATATACAAATACATGAAATTGAACTTTCTTTTTTAATTTTCCATAGTGGAACGGACGACAACAAGACGATAACACTGGACCAGAAGGAAATTATATCACCCATTTTCTTCTTCATCGTCCGTTTCACTATTGAAAATTAAAAAAAGGACAAATTAAAAAAGAAAGTTCAATTTCATGTATTTGTATATATATACGTGTGTTCTTATTTTGTAAACTTAATTCATTGTTTTAGTAACACCTGACGAAGAAGCACGTGTCCTTCGAAACGTCGTAATAAAAATAAAATTAAAAAAAAAAGGAAGAGAAATAAATAAAACATTTAAAAAAAACATTATGCCCTTCCTAACAATCACTGTATTAGAATCAGAGGTGCAGAATCTTCCGCATGCGCCCCCGCGCGGGGAGGGAAATTTTTTGAAAAACTCAAATAATAGGGAAATTTTGGAAAAACCCGCTGGCCAAAAATAAATACAGTGGGGAAATTTTTCAAAAAAATTTTTTGCGTGGGGGGAAATTTTTGGATTTTTGGAAGATTCTGCACCTCTGATTAGAATATATCTTAATCAAATTACAGAAGTGATTGTGACTGATGAGAATCCATAGTAAATACCAATTGCATCGAATAAGAAGATATTTATTATCAAGAGATTATATTGTATACTCCCCATAATAGAAGCCCCCTCCAGAGAGGTCGATCTGCCAGACGTATTAGAAGTCCCCTACATTTTCAAGGCATTTTAAGAGGTAAAAAACCTGTTAAAATCTTATTTATCAGTATCAAAATCCTGAAATCTCTTCGAAAACTTGCTGAACAACTCATAAAAGCCTTAAAAACTCCTTAGGACTTTCGAAAAATGCTTGTCCTTGGCACTTTTGAAAAATTATGGGAGCTAATAGAAGCCCCCTCTAAAACTTATGAGCGCTCGCCATAATAGAAGCCCCCCGAAGGCTTCTATTATTGAGGGGCGAGGAGTTTATCGAATGTCATTATTTTTCTTTTTTTTTACTCGAACGCACAGTAAGTATGAATTTGACGATTACGAGGATCTCAAGTGTATTGTGATATTATTCTTGGTAAATTAGCTTATTTCATATTATACTTTATTTTTGTTCGTACGGACTATACTTTTGCATATATAAAAGTGTATAAAAATATGCAAAATAACCTCCATATTGTTTTTTTTTCGGAGGAAAAATAAATTGTAATCAAACACGTGCATTGATTGTATCGGACAACAAAAAAGTTTGTTGAATAAGTTGCAATAATGGCATAATGTAAATAAAGAGAAGAAAAAGAAACATCGTTTTCTATGTCATAAACGTCTGAGAAAAAAAATGGGGTGTTGTTTCGATAAAGAAAAAGAGAAGACCAAAAAAATTCTATAAAGGGGTATCGATAGTGCACACATAAATATATTTACGTTTATTTCAAATAACATAAATTCTTGTATGTTAGTTAATTCTTCTTTTACGTTTTATGTTTTGAGCTGTATTAGTTTGGTAAAATTTAATTTGATCGTACCATTTTATTAAGATTATTATTTATATTTTTCTGTCTAACCTTATACTTTTTATCTAATTAAGTGATCATCGTGAACGCAAAATTTAATAAATTCTGGAAGTGATTAAAAACGAATTATTTTTGCATAAATAGAAGTTTATACAAACGAAAATCTGTGAGTTAATATGAATCTTCGTTTTGCATAAGTGGTTTGCAATTGAAGAGCATCATCATACTGTTAGCCGCAAAAATTATGACATGAAATCATCTCATTGTCATCGAGAAATTTCAAGTTTGACTTCTAAAAATTTCGTCTATTGATGTTTTCCCTTGTAAAACGATAAAAACAGGTTTTCTTCTTATCGTTGAATTTAAAATCCATGATAAACGCTCAACTAAATTGGACTTAGACGACATTGTTTAATCGAGAAATGAATACGATAAAATCATATTTCAATGAAAAAGATTTATCTCCTTGCTTAACCAGAAAAAGTTGAGAAAAACCAACGAAAGAGACGGAAAAACAAGTGAGAAATTTTGTTTCGATAACTGTTGAAATTTGTTAAAAATATATAGAAAGCTGAAGAGAATTTTTCAAAAGTAAGTGAATCATACTGTATATTTTGTAAAAATTGGTTTGATAGATTAATAAGTTTATTAGATATTGATAAAGCATTCAATCGAATAGAATAAACAAAAGATATTATATATTAAAGTAGTAATAGAACAGAAGTATATTAAAATCGGATAATTGAAAGTTACGAAAAGAGATTTCTAAAAATGATTTATGATACGAGAAAAAGACCTATTTACTATATCTCCACCGGTAATTTGTTCATTCTAATATCTGATAATATGTGAATATCAAAACATTTTAAAATTAAAATATGCTTGTTAATTCGATCTATAATTTTAGTTTTATTTGACAATAGTAAAGTGAATATGAATTAGTGATTTCATAACTTTTCAGATTTATAGGTAGAGTTCTATTGATGTTCGAACCTTTAATGCTACCAGTAAAGGATCAAAGTAAAAAGACTTATTGATGATTGATATGCATTCGGCGTTCCTACAGATGTTCGGAATTTTTCTTTTTCTTAAGACAAGAAGAGAGAAGGACTCTTCCAAAATCTTTTTGGTCAGAATCGAAACCCAAAACGATATATTCCGCTCATGTCTATTGGTTACACTTCAAATACATGATTGCATCGATATATGTTTTTTAAATACAAATAATATGAAAAACCTAAGATGAGTTGTATACATTCACGTTAATTTAGACTATTTTGAAAATATAATCCACAAATATATTGATGATAGAAAAGATTATTTTTTTTCATGTGATACAATCTACAAGTTTTTTTATTTATATTTTCAAAATTTTTCTACTATACAAATCTATCGAATGTTTATTTTTTATATCTCAAAAATGAGACTCTTCTTATTTGTTTATGATAGTTATACTAATTTAATTGAGATTAATCAGACTTTATTCATACTAAAATGAAATTCGAATGAGAAACGCAAAACAAACGGCATTTACTTTGATGTAGATTTTGCAGTATTTGTTTTGTTTTTTTTTAACTTTGTATTTTTTATATTATCAAAACATTGCAATTTTTACCTGAAAAATTTCTCATTCTGTATTTACATGAAACGATATTTGCTTTTTTTTTTAGGTAGAAGAAAAACCCTTGATGAAATAAGTTTTTATGAAGAAAAAGAAAGAATATCAACGATATATATATGATTACATTAAATAAGAAATATTAAACAAAAGTATATTAAAAATCATTTATTGTTGATAGATAAAGAATTAGTACAGAAATAATGAAAAGTTAGATTTCGTCATAATCGATTTTCGTTCTATTCTAGATAAATTATCGTTTTGTTTTAATCAATAATTATTGATCTTGTTCATCTCATGAACATGAACAAGATCGAATAATTTTATATCTTACTATATATAAATATTAACAAACTTCAATAAACTATAAACAACAATTTCAAATCAAAATAAGATGTTTAATTTCAATGATAATACTAGCGACTATTTATATTTATCGTCTAATGGTAAATATTAAATAGGATATGATGAACATTTAATTCTGAATATTAAATTTCATCGAAGTTTTTTTTTTCATATTTATACGTTTTTTTTTTTATTCAGAAAATGAAATATATTCAATAGTATCGAATTGCCGTCGTTCATCTAGTATTTATAAAAATATTATGAAGAAATTTTTGAACATTAATTTTTTATTTGTATAGCTCGTGCAGAATTTGCTACCGATAATACATCTCATTATTTACAACAGATAACAAGTATAATTCATTCTTAAAAATAGTTTCTTATTTGAACTAATGATACTTTAGATCAAGAAATCAATAAACTTATTGTTTATCAAGTTAATCATCATGAAACAATAATATCAATAATACATTCGTTTATATATATGTCGTTGTATTTATTTATTTATCTATGTCGTAATATATTATCATTTTTACTTATTATTTATAAAATAATAACTAACAAAAATCGATATGATGTGAAAATGCATCAATCTGAATTAGAATCTGTCAATTTATCAAATGATCGTGAGATTTTATTTTTAGAATATTAATTCTATTAAATTTTTTTTTTGTTTTTATAGTTTATGTTCAATCAAATAGAGATGCACAAGCAGAAGGTCGTACAGCTTGTAAGTATTACTTTTAGATTGAGAAAAAAAAAGTCAATAATCTAATATCTTCATTTATTTGTATAGACTCAAGCGATCAAACTATAATACTTTCTCCAACAGTGATCAGTAAATCACTGTAAAAGCTTTGTTCACAAATTTTAATACTATATTTCTAGTCACGAATGATGAACAATTATCAATTGAAGATAGACAAGCACATGATGCAGGAGTTCTGAGAGGAATAAACAATAATCGACCTACATATGTTATTACATATAATCAAAATACTCATGTCAATCAAGATCTAACATTATATACAACTACAAACGATAATATATTTGCTCGAAATGTACAAACTGGTAAATATCTTTTTTTTTCTTTTAATATTTCTTATTGAGTAGTAATCCATAAAAATATTTAGGAGAAAATATTCCGTTTTTAAACAATAATGATATATCAGAACCTGTAGTTGATGATCCAACATGTAAGTTCAATAATATATTTCCACATACGATAATTAAACTTTTTAATATTATTTATTTGATAGATAATGTAAACCTTTTGAATTCAGTCGAACCACAAGATGATATAGAGTCCAATGATAGGAGTGATGATGAACAAGGTATATTTGACTAATTTTCTTGTCAATAAATTATCATAATAATTTATGATTTGCTCATAGTATGAACTTAATCTAATATATATATATTGCGTTTAGATCTTATTATTAGTTCAGAAAGTGGTTTTGATGGTGGCGATAAATATGATTCAATAGACGATAACGAATCAAGAGGTATATTAGACAAATTTTATATATTTTTTTCTTTTTTTTTAATTGAAATACTTTACTAATGATTATAGATCGAATATTACAAACTGCTGAAAATCTCAATAATAATGTTCAAAATAACCATCAATTAGATCAAACAATATTTGATAATGAGCAACGGACAAGAACAGACACACGTAAAACATATTTTCATTTATTTAATCAAATATATTTCTTGTACGTTATATAGTTTTATCACACCATGAACCAATTGAAATGCAAGAAAATGTTTCGGTTCTAATCGAAGATGCTCGTGCAACAATAGAAGATGCTACCTGTCTAATATCTATATTTAATCAGAAGCAAACAAATCCTACTGACTTAAATATTGAGTCAGATGAAATAAGGATTGATTAAAGGGGCGTTTTATTATTTATATTAATCAAGAAAAACTTCATTTTAATCAAGACATAGTAAAAACATTTTTTTCTTTTAAATTCTATTTTTTTTACACGTACTGAATTTTCTATATTATGTTCAGAATATTTTAAGACCTTCGTTCTACTCAAAAAATCAATTCTTTTCTCGATACATTCAATCCATAAATGATATTTTAAGCGTATGTCCAAACGATAGTGTAAAATTTATGATAATTTTTTTTTCCATTAATAATATGCAAGTTTTAAAAAACTGTTTGTCAAACTACAGTCATAAATTAGTCCTTGTAAGATTTCGATATATTTGTATTAATCTCTATTGCAAGAACTGTTATAAACAGTCTAGCTGGTAATCTATATTCTCTAGGATATTCTATTGTGAATAGTTTCGACAGAACATATTCAAACGAAGGATCTCATAGAGTCTTTCTTTAAAAAATGTTAGTGTAATGTCTATGTGATGAAAATGTGAAATACAATGTAGTAGCTATTGAGGAAGGAACAGCTGGCCTAGAACTTTATATTTCTAAATTTCAACATTCCTTTTCGAACATGTTTCAGAAAATGTTAATTTTACATGATATTTAAATAGATACGAATTGTTGAAAACAAACGTTAGCGTTGAAAAAATTTTCTGTATTCTGCATTGTCTTTAAAGTCTTATTTGTAAGTCAATGTATAAGTTTTTTTTTGATGAGTCTCATCTGCTGGACTACAAAAAATGAAGGCAGCTTTTTCGAGAATTCTGAATAATATGATAAAAAAAACTTTATAGATTCTTATTACAAATAGACTAGCTTTGAAAGAACGAAGTAGGATTTATGCAAAATTGTTGACATTGTGTAGTGTTTCGCAAAGCGAAGATGTTACACTATCCTACGACATACGTATTTTAAAATTGAGGATTTTGATAATAATCGATTGGTTTTGAGTCAGAACGAAGAGTATTCATGATTTTTACTATTTTTTTTTGTGATTGTGTATGCGATAAAATAAAACATTTAATTTGAGAACTCACGAAAATGTGACATCCATGAAATTTATTTTGTTTTATTTTTCTTTGATGAATTTATTCAAATAAATATATTTTGCTTAACATATATTTGGTTATCATATGATTCATATAAAGTAGATAACTGATTTTCTCAATTATCAAAGCTGATTAAAATGAATTGTTGGAAGTAATAAACGAATCAATGCATCTTGTTTAGATGATATTTTAATGATATTATTCAATTTATTCGAGTATCAAAGAATGGCTGACGAGTCATAATTTTTTGTAAGACATAATAGTAATATATCAAATATTATTGTACTTTTTCTAAAATTGATATGAATAGTGTCTTATTTACTTGACAAATCTCATTAAATCTTATAGAAATGGTGATGTTATTTTGTGATACTATTTGCGAATTATTATCTGTTGTTCTCTTTAAGACATCTAAAAATCAATTAAAAATATCTATTTGTCAAAAAATCAAAACCGAAATGTGTTCTCTCATAAATTATTTTGATTTCATTTAATTGATATTTTTAACGGAAATATTAACTTACAACTAATATTAATGAGAGATTAAAACATGATAGCAATACTAGTACTAAAGAATTTCTTATCTTGAAGGTGATTTACTTGAAAATAATTTATTAATATATTCTCTTGTCTACTTTCGATGATTTTTTTTTCTATGAGAATTGTAGTATTCTTTCAATTCATTGATTTTCAGAAAATATAACATGAAAAAATCTTTTTTTTTTTTCATAAACTATCTATAATCTAACCTTATTGAAATAAAAACGTAGAGTTCTGTAATATTTCTTTTCTATCTATTTAAGAGTCACATTATTAATCGATCGATTTGTTATTTGCAGTCATTGTCAAAAACACTAATTTTCAAGATATTTAATTTAAAAAAGACTCCAAAGAATGCTATGTCTTTTCGAAACTTTTTAACATTTTCATTTATTTCTTTTTTATTATTATAGAGAATATAATCATTCTTAAATTGTTTTTCTTGGACGTTGATTAAATCTTGGATCATCATTTGTATAGCTGTCTTTCTAGTCATGGCTAGTGAATCATTATGTATTAAAAGATCATACGTATGTGGTGCGATAAAGCATGTCGATTTGAACAATACTTAACACAGAATTTATTATGGATAGTAAAACTTATAACGAACGAGAGTGAAGTATCATAAGTTGCTGTGAAGAATTTAATATGTATGATAGATAAAATATTCCTATGTAATTTTAATTTGAATGTTTGTGTTGAACAAGAATATAAATCCTCTTGATTCTCTTGAATCTTAAGATCATTCATATTCCAATCTTATCATAAATCAAGAATATATTTTTGATAATTGTCTTCATAAATAGCTACATTTTTTTTAGAATAAATTATTGACATTAAAAATAATTTTGATAACAGTCATGTGTATGATGATAATGAAGAAAGAATTTTGTTTAATAAGATTTTTTTTTCTTCTTTTATTTACATCCAAATACAATAATATTCCGAGATAAGACATTTTAACTAGCACTATGAAATACTTTTCTTTTTATGTCTTGGCTTTATCACTCAAAGAATTATTACAAATTAAAGAAAGTATCATTAACATAATAAAATTTGCTTGTCAAACGTATGTAATTTATGCAGGTCTCTTAAAAATACTTCATCGAAATAACTTACTCCTTACGATTCAAATGATGAATTAAGTCAGAGAAATACAACAAGCCAACGAATAATCACTTATCAGCCTTTACCAGGCAATGTCTAAGTCAAGAAAAAAAATTTTCTTTTCTCAATTTAGTTTGTATGTGTTCTTTTATTAAGCTCAAACTTTGATTGAGTGATATATCATCGAAAAGATCTTTAAATATTCGATTCTAATTCAATAGTTTGAATTATTTCGAAGGACGAACATCGAATCGGTTACGGTTAGTTTAGTTTAATATTTACAAATGTATCTTTTTAGATGACATTCCTTTTTGAACAGAAGATTTCCAATAAAATCGATTTAGTGTCATTTTCTCTGGAAATCCATTGTTTTTCTTTATCGTCTAGTTTTATTGAGAAATAAAAGTCTCATTTTATAGCCTATATACGCATGTTTTTTTCATGAAAATGAAGTCATGTCAGAAAAATATTTGTATTCTGATAGTATAAATATGTAAAGTTCTTTTTTGATTATTTGGTTCACTATTTTTATTAAAAGATTACAGTACTAAATAGTGGAAGGAAACAGAATAATTGACCAACAATGACAAGCATATAATAGATACCAATCATCACGTTCATATTTCCTGATGAAGATAGATCTGATTGGGTATTGCTCGGTGGAATTCCTTGCGGAAAACGAAAGTACCATGTTGGATCCCATCGACTTTTGATGTCTCTTAATCGTTCCCAATGATCGCGATAGTACAATTTTTGCCAGTTATTCAAATAGGGATCGATATAGTTAAGATAAGCTCCAACAATGCTTGTCGTAGGTGCTGCAGCATTCATCAATCTCTGCAACCAGTTTTCAGCTATGCTGATGGCGGTAGAATCATCTTCAGATGTATACCAGACAAAGCCGGGAGCAATATCGAAAGAAATATCAGGAAACGCCCAAGCTGTATTTTTATCTTTGTTAACATTATGCAAATAGATGATATCCACAAATTGTAAAATTCTAAATGTAGCGTTCGGTTGAGGTTCTACAAGAACATTGATCATGGCCTCCGTAATATTAATCGCCATAGCTGAGACGATATGTTGTCGTTCCTTGGCTGGAAATGGATAATTTGCCGCACCAGTAGCGATAATCATCTCGAGTTGTGTATAATTGCGCACTGTATAAAAGTCTGGTTTTGGATCTTTGGATAGCCAAGGTTGAAATGATGAAGTAAGATCTGCCTGTGGACCGTTGAACGAACCGTACATCATGAGAAAACTGCTTGATGATTCGGTGAAGATGAGAACATCAAATGAAATACGAGTATCGAGATTAGCAACTTCATCCAGAAATACCAGCCAGTTACGAAGAACAGCTGGAAAATCTTTCGGATTAGTCCAAGTAATATTCAAAAACGAAAGTTGACCGGTCGGTAAATTTGTTTGGTTGATCCGATGAATCTTATGTGTCATTTCCAATACATAGCCAAAATTCCCACCACCCCCACCACGAAGTGCCCAAAATAGATCTGGATTGCTGGTCGATGATGCTGTAACAATAGTACCATTGTAAGTGACTACTTTAAAGCTTAGAACATTGTCTGATGCTAATCCATACGAACGAGAAAATAAAGAATTATAACCACCTCCAACCGTATAACCGACCACACCAACGGTTGGACACAATCCACCGATGATCGCATACTCTGAGCCGCTCAAAGCTGTATAGACTTCATCCCATATTGCACCTGCTTGCATCGTGATTGTCTCGTTTTGCCAGTTGATTGTTTTATTTTTTAGTAATGCTGAATCCAACACTACACCTGCATGGCTACAATAACCTCCATAACTATGTCGACCACCCATGATACGGATTGGTATATCGAGTGAATAGAGTGTGGAAAGTGCTAATGCGACATCATCATATGTTGCAGGTCGTATTATGAGGCTAGGCCAAATTTGAATCGCCGTGTTCCAAAGAGTAGCTGCTCGATGATATCCGGAATCTGTTACTCGCAATACTTGTCCACCATGAGAGAGGATAGTAGATTCCATATCAGACATAGGATCACTCCTTACGTCCATCATGCCTGATATTGATAAAAATACTACTGCGCGTAGAAATATCAAGTCGAAACGAACAGAGGAACTAGCCATTTTGCAACTTCACTCAAATCTTGAATATGAAATGAGAAATTAAGAATAGTGAGTAGGATTGCAAGATGACATATCTGAGTGATCAAAGATCGGTTAAATTGTTTTCATTGAGAACAAATAGGTCTTTTGAAGTTTGAGTTTTCAATATTTACTCATCCTAAAGCATAGAATGTTTCAGAAGCTAAAGAACCCAACCCAGATTGACTCGTACGAATAAGAAATTTAGCAGTGATGAAGTCGTTGAAAAGTCGTTGTCAGAGCTTATAATACTTCAAATAACTATTCTAAAACTCTCACCAAATAAGACTTATCACGGAGTAAGCAAGAATTTTGCTATGAAGAGAGTCCTGATGCATAGTTCAAGTTGATAGAGAAAAAGATAAGAAAATGCAAGAAATCTTGACGAACACGTTTGAAAAAGAAAGACATAGATACATCAAGAGATGACGTGTTTTTTTTATTGTTGTGCGAGTCGATAGACAAGAGAAGTGTTTTGATTATTTTATAACTTAACAAAGAACTTTCTCTTGTTGTAGACTGTCAAAGAACAACAGATAATTTGAATGTGGTGGATATGCTAAACTTTGGAAGAGTCGTTGATTTCTGTCTTCAATAGCTAATTCTTCTCAAGTATGAAGTGGCGGGCCAGAACCAAAATTTTTGGTGTGGCAAACGCTGGAGAAATCGTTTTGCTAATCAATCTTTGTCCAGTTATCGATCATTTCAAATATTTTTGGTGTGGCAATTGCCACACTTTGCCGCCGTGGCGATCCGCCACTGCAACTAGGTTTTCTATCATTTTCACTCTTCTCCTAATAAATGGTTTCATCTGTTTTTTTTTTCTAATTTATTTTGTTTTCTCACATTCATATCATTTGATGTGATGTTGCCTCAAATGATTAATCTGAGGATTGCATGTAAAATGATATGTAGAAAATCAATCACGATTAAATTTTCTGGTGCTCGAAGTATTTTCGTTTTCACTATGAAGTACAAAATCTGGACATGCCGTCTCAATAAGTAAACAAACAGTTTATTAGCAAAAAGAATATTCGAAGGTAAATAATCATTACAAGAGTGTATATGACTACAACACATGTTGAATTATTAGATTGAATATTGAAAATAAAAGGCTCTGCATATAGTAAAAAGCCACAATATTTCGAGCACATTCCCTATCTGAAGGCTAAAAGTGCAAATGATGTATTCTTGATTAGAAAATGATTTATCTGAAGTAAGCAATAGTATGAAGAAGCATGCTTTTTGCTGCTGATGTCATGTGCAGTTAGATGTGATTTGTTTCTGAATACTTTTCAGTGCAGTCTCGAAGTTTTCGAGATCTTTTCAAGCTTTTCGATGATGAACATGCAAGCCTTTTGTGTGATATCGTGCCACATCGATGCAAACACGTCAAAACGAGTCCCAAGTAGAATCAGTACAATATCTGAGATGAGTATTGGTACATCAATATGTATCGATTGAAAATGTATTAAAGGCCATTAAAATTTTGCTTATCAATCAAGTGACGAATGATATTCTAATCGCTTGATTGCCATTGCAATGGGTTGCACTGGGTTGGAACGTCTCTTGTATGCTGAATAGAGCGGTTAGCAAAGTAGTCGTACTGATTCGATGGTGAACCCGACCTTGATCATGGTTTTGAAGATGGATGTAAGTGTTTGATTTGGAGTAGACGAATGTGGGTAACACAGAATACAAGAATCACAACCACACGCATACTATTCTCTTATCGAAAAACATTAGTATTATATTTATATTAGCAATAATCATTAAAAATACTATTTTTCATAACCGTATTCTTGCTCGTGAATAAAATTCTATCTTAATTAGTATATAAGCGTGACTAGATCGTGATTCTTTGACTTACTGAAGACTCAGTATATTTTCTACAGAGAGCTTAGTGTCAATATTTGAGTCAAGAAAAAGTTCTTCTATCAACAAGTTTTTTGTTTTTCATTATCAAAATACGCGTAGAGAAGAAAAGTAATTATTTGTAAGTGGAACTTGATATATTAAAAATTGCACCACATCATGATGAATTCATTTCCCCTATTCATCTTTTTTCTTTTACTTTCTGTCCTTTTTTTTCTCTTTTACTCTGTGTATACAGGTTCTACAGTTGATTTGAAATAAAAACCGAACGATTCGATTACGCCTTTTACTTCGTCTTTCTTTTATATTAACCATTCATTCCGAAGAAAAAAAGAACAACAATCATCTGACATAATTCTTTGATAACTTTTTCACTAACATGTCTACTCTTAACGAAATTTTTGATACAACCACAGTAATATGTATTCTACCGACCAATATACAAAGTCTTGAACTTGCTGATACCACATCATGATGGAATCAATATCCATATAATCTTGACAAAATTGAAGATACTGGTATGTTGTTCGGATACGATTAAGTGTAGAATATTCGACTAGAGTACATTTTTTTTCATCAAAAAATTGATAAACAATACCGATTTCATAAAAGCTTACAATTATCTTTCAATAACGGATACATATTATGAACGGATATTAAATTGTTCAATTTTTTCATTGACTTTTTTCTAATCACAACAATAAATGATAATTTATTTTTTGAAATTTAGATTGTATGCATAAAGACATATATTGCTAAAAATTATATTTCTATGATAGAGAACAGTTTGATCTAACGGCTGATCTAGAAGCAATGGCGGTCTCAATATTTTCTTAATATTTTTGTTCACTTTCATAGTTTTGAAGTACACTTTTCACAAACGATTCACCGTTCAGGTAGATGTAGAAAATTTTCAAGAATAACACTACACACGCGAAATATTAACAATTTTCAAAGGTAAAGTGTAACTTTTTTTCTGGTCAAGTGTTCTCATGTTGTCTTATACTGACAAAATTAAGTTATCCGTTTGTTTTTGACCTTGGAAAATCATGTACGTTTTGGAAGCAAAAAAATTTATAGCAGAAAATCCTTTAAAAAAATTAAATACAATTACGAAGGTAACAATAAGTTTTCCACATAATAATTTTATTGATTCGAACTCTGTTGAGTAAAATTGTGCAAGTTGGATTTAAATCTAAGTTCAGCTGGCAAATCAAACAGCAGTAAAACTTGTATTAAGTGAACATCGTTGGAACTTTTGAAAAGTGTTCAATATTAGGAGGTAGTAATCTATAGGAGAGGTCATAAACATGTTGGCCTATCAGTAAGACAGGCAATGCAGTATTTTTTCGATTTCTTTCTTTTGCATGGTCAGTTAGATTCCATATTTATACCACAATACTAGGTGATATCATTCAAAAATGCAGCATATGATTAGGATCTAACTGTAGTCATTTGTTTAAAAACTTGCAAATATTGAGTGCCTGAAAGCAAGAAAGCACATTTTATTTCTAACATTACTTTTATCATACAAAACCGAGAGTACACAAAGATCACAAAATAATAAACCAGCAAATAAAACTGCTAATCGCTTGTGTTATTATCTGTCAAATCCCAATCTGTTCGACATATATAAATACCAGTATAAGAGACAAAACAATGCATGTTATGACCACAAAATTACAAATGTCAAACCTGTTTCTGAACTTGTGGCTGCTCTATATTTGTACACCTTTGAACAAATTATTATACTTAGATACTCTTTGTATGGCTCATATCACATTGTATATGTGATGTGGGTTGCCGTTAGTAAAAGATCCATTCTCACATATTTCACACCTACTGACTATCAATGTTTTGCTCTATTTCAGATATTATTGCATTATGTGAGTAAGAATAGACAATAGAGCTCTTGTTCATTAGCACATAGAACAACGTGCTGCCACTTTTGGTATTTTTCATATTAATTTTAATTTGGCTGTACATCGAGTGACATACGAAGAACTTGTCTGGATCTTTGAATATCCTCTCAATTGTGATGACAATGTATTTCTCATCAATAAATGGATCATGACTACTGAACAGGAAGCTTTGATCTACTGCAAAATGATCAAACAGCTATTTCATCGTTATGCATTCAAGATATGTTCAAAATGGTAGTACACGGCGTCGACTAGTAGTTTTAAAATTATTTTAATGATAAGTCACTCGGTGTAATCAATAGTACCAGCCTAATTTTACTTCATATTGTCTGTCATCATGGTTGGACATCTACAGTGAAATGGCTTCTAAAAAAATAGCACCAATATTAATGTTCAACTTCATAATAGTTTAAGAAGTATACCTTTGCATGGTATGCATGTCAATAATCGTAACAAATACGGCTTTACTGTGCTCAATAATACGGACATGGACGTAGATTGATGTAACTATGGCTAGTTGTGTTTGTATTTGTGCATGTCGACGAGGTCTCTTTCATCCTTCCCACACTCGCATCCACCCATAACGACACTTACACTTCAGACTTCCCCCCGACATTCCCATTGACGTTTCTCTCTTATCAATCCTCTGATTTTCTTTTTATAGATAAGACGTACAAATATATACGAGCAAAATGTCGATTTGGAAAGATACAGATGCTGATAGAGATAGTGACGATCACTATTGCACTGATATTAGTCAAAAAGTTGAAGCCACAGAATCTGTTGAAACTTTTCAGGATCTAAAAGAATTGTTCAAGTTAGGTTACCGATTCCAAAGTACAGAAAAGTCAAAGGTACAATCATTATCCATCTGCAAACGAATTCTAGACAAACTTACTGAACTGAAACAAGAAATCATGCTTCATGATTCTAGACTGAAGACTACTATCTATCAAGATATATGGCATCGCTTGCTCGAACTATGGCTCGAACTATCACAGAAAATTGCCCATATCAATCAGATTGATCGAATTATTACTGCCAAATGTCTTGACATGATTCTGTTGGTAATTGATCAACTCAAAATTATCGATTCTTATCAGCAGAAACCTGAAAATGAAATAACTAAAAAGAAGTTTTTAGTCTGTTTGGATATGCTCGATTTGCCTCATGTTAATGCTTTTCTACAACAAAACAACGAAACACTCGATTCGATCATATACTCTTTCAATATTCGTCTCATTTTGAGTGAAATGACTGACCGCGTACCATCGAATGTCATCAACATGCTTCAAGAGCATGCCAATTTACTCGTGATATTAAAAAATTATGTTGATCAAAGAACAAAATCGATACAATTGGCTGAGAGATGCACTGTTAATTGTATTCTGTCATTTTTTTGGAATCTATGCGATCAAACCCTTGTTGTACCAAAAATGATAGAGATCGGTCTGCCGCAATATGCCGTACGTTGGCTGTCACAATTAAATGAGGAAACTGCAAATGCCGAGTTTAAGAAATCTATCCATCTTATATATAACTTGGCACGACATGATGATGGTGCTGATGAGCTCAATAAATACGAAGCGATCGAAACACTGAAACAATGCCGACGCAAGTAAATATACTCTTTGCCAAAAATCTTTCAGTGTAATCTCTGCAAGATTAAAATTTGAAACACAGTCGGACTAATTTTACTCTACACGAGAATTATATTTACGAAAATGCAGTGTATCTAAAAGATGACAGAAATAGAAAAATGCCATTCCTAATTGATATGAGCATCCCGAAAACAATAGTTGCAGTCAACTTTTTAAAAATACTTATTTTATAAAAAATATAGTACTAAAAAAATAATGATATAGTCTAAATGCTCTTTCAATTCTTCAGCACTATCAATTGACAATTATTTCTAAAAAATTTCGATTATTATCAAGGAATTCTTGCTAAATCGTAATGTCCGTCATTTTCCAAGCTTGAAAAACTTATTATATACATGGAATGGAAAATATTTATTTATCATATAAGAGTAAAGAGCGATCTATATAATCCTATTCAACGATATTCACACGCATTGAAATTCGATTTAAAGCATGAAAACATAGATCTAAGCATCCTGCGTATCTGATGCACACTAAACCAGTAATCCAAAATATATGCATTTATTTAATTTCTGCTTGATTTGTTTGTTTAAATAAAATGTGAATGTGTTACAAATAAAATTGGTTTTGAAGAGGATGTTATTCCAAGGTACTTTTTTTGACTGATCACGCAACTCATAAACATGTGTCGATAATTATCCATTTGTGAGCCATCATCTTCAAGATAGTTAGTAAGAGCACGTACCCTATGTTGAATCTTGACACTCAAAAACACCATCTAAACTGTCGAAAGTACATATAGTTGAACGAGCACAAAATGTAATAATTATGAGTATAATACATCAGGAGTGTATTGTCCATAATTGAATTATTTTATAGGAAATAGTTTCTAGTAGAGCTGGTAAAGTACAAAGTGATAAAAAAATTTCAAGAATTTTCAGAATATATCAATACTTTTTATGACTATATTTTTGTAATTACAATAAAATGGAAAAAATTCAGTTTTTGAAAATTTGAGGATGAGAGAGACTTCACTAAATTTGAAGACTTTTTTAAGACATAAATATATAGAATAGTAGAGAACTCAGAGGACGATCAGACTGTGAGATTATTTTTGTAACAGTATGTCTTTATCGAGAAAGTATCCTTGAGAAAATTAACTGCAACCACTGTTTTCGGGATCTATATCTGTCTAAGTCTATCTAGGCGAAGAAGATGTATAAGAACTTCACCTACACATAAAAAGTGTAGAGAAATATCAGTTTGCAAGTATAAATATCTCACAGGTGAATTAGTTTTTTATCAGTAATTACGATTGCATAGGAACTGGATAAAACAAAATTCATATTTATGGCTTGACACTTCGTTGGCCTTGGCACTTCTCTTCTCACCTGAACAGCTCAAAAGTGATCAAGAATGCATGAACGACGTCCTCAATCAGATTCTACAACATACTATCGACGCTGCAAATGACAATCGATTTCGAAATAAGACTGGTTTTCATGTTAGTGAACCTCTAGCTGTTATGGTCAAACTATTTGTTGTGGATGAAGTAACGCTTGATTATATCCTCTGTAAAGCAGAAACTGAGCCTCCATTAGATATATTATCAACTATTCGTCAATTCACTTGGATTCTCATTGCCTTTTACAACGAACGAGATAAAAACGATCACCTCATACAATTCACGTTGATTGCGATAATGAACATTCTGTGGAGTATCTCATTTCAAGTTCAATATAGGCCCTATCTGACCACTGATAACAAATTAGCTATGTTTATTATCACGGATCTAGCCAAAAACGATTACCCAGAGACCATTTGTTGGTACAAACCACGTTCAATGGAAAGTATACGAAATGCTGCTCGTGGTATACTTTACAATCTTGATAAAGTAATTGATGGTACCAATAGAGAAGCGGAAGATAGTGGAAATCAATTTAACACGATACAGACAGTTATTAGGTTGGTTGAACTCGATGTTATCATATTTTTTGAATTATGTAATTTTTTTGCCATTAGTTCTACCGACAAGCCATCCATCATGATCAGCTATTGTCATGAAAACAAAGAGTTTTGTGGTAAACTTCTTGAACTATTGTCAACTCATCGTGATGAATTCGATGTATGGATTGATCAAACTCACTGTCAGTCGGCCAGCGATCTATGGGAAGTGATTGCTTATGGAATGGAACAAGCTCATGTTATTGTGTGTCTTGTTTCTAATCATTATTATGAGAGTAAATCGTGTCGTCGAGAGTTTACATATGCTGTAGAAACACTTAAGAAACCTATTGTACCTGTACTGCTGGAAGACATTGAACCTAAAGGATGGTTGGGTAAGTTGATTATCATCTTCGCATGTTCCTGCTTGAAAAAAACGAATAAATTCTAAGAAGACTGATTTAGCTTTTGTTGAATGGTATAGGTATTCGAATGTCGGGTGTGAAGTATGTGCGCTTCAGCAACGTCAAAGTACTAAATCAAACAAAAATTGACGATCTGTTAAACACTATTCTCGTATCACTCAGACAGTCACAAAGTTCAACTACAAGCCCATCGGCTATTCAATATATTTCAAATCAAATGAAGCGAAATGAGTCAGTTGTAACAAGCCGCAAGAGTTCTATTAGTACTTCTATGCGCTTACCATTGAGTAGATGGTCGATGGCAACCATCAATGACATCAAACAATGGTTTGCTCATTACCACATTTCAGCTGAACTTCGAGACTTGTACAACTTTCAGACCGGTCAAGAAATGCTTCAATATGCACAAATGCTGATCGATAACTATGAGAAGCATATAGAAATGTATTCGAAAGCATTTTCGAAGAAATACAACGGTAATGATCTACTTCCGCACGAATTCAATCGCTTTGCTGAAGCCATGAAACAGCTACTCAAAGATAATAAGCTGTCTCCCAACTCTATTCTTGTTGTTCAGCCAACTCAGTAAAGATAGAGGTGGACGAGCGCCCAATATTACTTGAATACAAGCTCTGACTCTCTTTTTTTTGTATTTGTACATATACTCATCGTTTAGGCGCTCATACTCTCACTTGTACTCGAAAATTCACTATTGAAACTTTTGAAAACTTCATCAAAACTGTAACGACAACTTATTTGATGTTCAGTAGGCAATAAAATTAATATGAAGTACTCTTGATTAGATTTGGTTTCTATCATAAATGATTCAAAATAAAAGTTTTCTTTTTTCAAAGCTACTGCTTGCCAAGTCTGCCGTATATGGGACATTTCGAACTGTATCCCTTTGCTAGCATACTATATTTCCCTTTTCCATAATGAGTTCCATAGGTAACCCTTCTATCGCCTTGTATTTCGGATAAAAAAAAATCAAGACCTTGGTACCAAGAGAGCACCGCAAGATCTTCAGCAAACTTTTGACTAGAAGTACACGTGCTTGCAAATACTAAACCAAATACTAAGATAAGAATCTCCAGAACTAGTGTAAGTCAATTTTACATACGTATGTCTGTATTTATTGTTTCACTACTAGATCCCTTAATTGATCTGAATGTGAATGGATAAGTAAGAGTTTGAGTATTTATTGGACATCCACTTTTAAACTCCTGCATACATACATCCACGCACAGACTAGGAATTAAAAGGACTAGAACTGATCATTAGTGCTTTGCAGCCTGAGAATGAAATATCATCTACTATTGTCTGGTGATTCGTTGACATATGTTACCATAAACTCTGTTCGTATAGTAATTGACATGATTCCGTGTATCATACACATTGATTCGTAATGTTTTCATGAAGACAATCATTTAGTGCATCAACACACACGAACATGATTAGGTGTGATTATTCATTTAAAATCACTGTTCAATTTCAGCAGTGAAAACAAACTGATACGTTCGTCCTTTGCAGTGTCTTTCTTCAAACTATTGCTTATTTCCGTGTTGGAGTTCTATATGCGTTTTTTTCGAAGTTTCATCAAGTAAGTCGACATTTTTCAACATTGATATGCTTGCGCTTGTCAGAAATATTTATTTGGTCACTAAAACAAGTTAGATTTGTATATGGGGTGTGGAGTATCGACCAGAGCTTGTAAGTGTAGAGAAAACATTAAAACAAGACCATAATTGTACCTATAGCAACATTTAGCTCTCATCCACACTCACATCCTGAAGTCTGCATATTCACACAAACACACCCACACCCTATATGAACGAGTTCTGTCCTCACTGTGGTCGCCGAAATAATCTGCATTTTCTATGCAATGCATTGGAAAATCATTCTCTTTGCGCTATTCAACTTCAACTGATGACAGGTATTTACAGTGAAAGTTTCAACTTGTTTCTTCATCCGAGAGAAAAATTAACAGTTTTGTAATGAAAGTGGGTCTCTCTTTTGCATTTTCTTTTATTTCTCTTTCTTCTCTTTTATTGCTTCCCTTTTTTGTTCCTTTCAAAGATTATGATTAATCATAGTTTACACTGTTGTGTGAACTATGCCAATAATAATGCAAATCTCTCTGTCTTTCTTCTACTTCTTTCATTTTTTTTCGTTTGACTCCATTGCTCTCTGTTTTCTTGCACTAGCCGTCTCTTCGATGTTGACTCTATTTTTATAAGCGTTCACGCAGTGTCGTCGCGAAGTAACTACCATTGAAGGATATTCTATGGAAGTCATCGGAAAAAGTGACAAAATGGAAAAATTTTTATTGAGCTTCGTTAGCGACATCAAAAAATTTCTAACACCGAAAGGGTAAGAATGACCTCTGCTCATGACAACTTGCGTCCACAAACACATAAAATATAACGTATACTTTAAAAACAGGCTGCTGCTTTCTTCATAAAACAAACGAAAGAGTAAATTATAGCCTTCTAGTTGAGATCAAATGACACACGAATAAGAATCTTTCTCACAAAGTATTACTGATCATTTCTAGAATAGCAATGGCAACGGCCCATATATCAACAGAACCCATTGATGAAAATCTCGAGACATTGTCTGTCATCTGGCTCGACACTTATGGTAACGATGCAAGAAATCTCAAGGCTCAACAACAACTTCGTACACCATTTCATCATTTGAAGACATTTGTCAGCGTTGACGAATGCGAGAAACGTATTCAATTTGTGCATGAAGGTGATCGAGTAGTCTTGATCGTAGGAAGTAGCTCAGGTAGAATATGGATGCCTCACATTCATCAGCTGAGACAAATATGGTTAATCTATACCTTCAGCATGAACAAGAAAAACGAAGACTGGATCAAACATTTCTCAAGAGTGAGTAAACTATCCTATGTTTGTTTGTATTCGAAGAGGTTTGTTATAAAGATTCAACCCAGGTAACGAAATTTTGTGTCGAATTTAGCTTTGAAATACAGGGCTACAAAGCGATTTGTTTTCAAACTTCCTCCATGATAGCTTCGGCAAAAGATTAACGGATTTTAATTTTTTTTCCTTTTCGAAAACGAAAACAAAATGGTTAGAGATACAATGCGGCCATCACTCAGATCGATGACAGGATCATTTGCAAAAGGAGCGATGTAAACAGTCGATATGGTACCCTTGACTTTCTACTTGCCACGTGCTACATCAATTCTTCATTCTTTCTAATGGAGTCTTATTTTCTCCTAAAATTGATGGATTAAAGACAGCTTCATTTGATGTGAAAAAAAAAAAACAGGGTCATTCTTGTCATACAATGTTGTCAGTGAGAGTAATCTGAAAGGCTACTGCATCCGCATCGATGCAATGAAGTAATGACGCAAGAAAACGAATAGAGGCTAAGTTGGGGCTAGACCATGACGAAGTTATGCATAAGTAGTCTAGTGGATTCTAATGAACACATAAAGTTTGATTCATTTGCGATTATAATCGATGGTTTTTCTTGACTAAATTGCGATTTGAAGGTAAAATTTAGAGTAGCGTCATGCTAAACATAATTCACAACATCGTTGAAGTTTTATCATTGGGTTGTTTAAATAAAACTGCGAAACTATTTTCACTTGCCAAGATTATTTTCAATAGGCAGTGTTAACATTGAACTGAAATAGGCATCTGACGGATTCATTGCATTCTCTTTCAGATTAACGATGTCACCGAAGAGTTGGATGAACTCGTCACTCTAGTTGTATCCATTCAGAAGAAACCAAGAAGCCAGCGCATGCTTGATGAGCCACTCTCATTACTAATATGGAGCATGTGTGGAATAAATGAAATGAATACCTATCATTCATGTAAGATTGTGACGTTGGAATTACTCTTTGTCTGCTAACAGTTGTTGTAACTATTGCAATGGTATCCAGGTCGAGTTCGAGTAGAATGCAACTGCTTCATGTTAGCAGGATGTGGGTGTGGGTGTTATTGAAAAATATAGCAACATCCACATCCACACTCTAGGTTTTATATAACAATGCACAATGTCATTTGCATATAAGAGGACCAAAACATCAATCATATCAAGAGTAATCTGAAGTACACGGTTAGGTTCAATTTTACTGATACTATCTTATAAAATATGCTTCTAAACTTTGATCATATCTTTGCTAAAGCATACACATTCCAATTTACATATATTGTCTTCCAAATATCGATACATTAGTGATACAATATGGAACATACGAATTATTATTATTTCAGCATCGCTTTGAGATGGATCAATCAAAACAAGTTGTATGGCTTTTCGATGATGATTTTAATCTTTTAACAGCTAAATTTTTCTCTGTCGATCATTCAGCTGAATAAATGACAAAATGTGTTCCATGTCCTAACTCTTGCAATTCATCGATAATGGATTGTTCTCCATTGAATTATACCAAATGTTTAATTGTAACTAATTTGCATTCAACTTCAGTAAAAAATTGAAAATATCTATCAGCAAATGCATAAGCATTTTTCCTATCGTTTAAATATGATAAAGCAAGATTATAATTACTTTGAATATTGTTATCAAATGTTATCCTTTTATATCCAATCTATTGTTGTCAGTTTTGACTCTATAACTATTTTTACATTTGAATTCTCAATCGTCTTCTATTTAAATATTTCGTATCAAAATCATGTCACTTCGATTTATTGATCAGAATTGAAAATAAGTCCATAGAATCCAACATATCATATGTTTCTTGTGTTTTCAGAGGTGATGCACTAATTGTATTATGAATATTCATTATATGGTAAAGTTGAAAGATCATGAATCAAACGTAATATAGCTGATGATGCTATCGATAATAGATACAGAATATGTTCAATATAATTACATTGAATAATATCCTTGGATGACATATTCATTAAAATTTAACGGTGGGAAGTTGTTAGTAATTTCTCTCTTTCTCTATCATTCAAAATATCTTATTTAACTAATAATTGAAAATGATTTCTTGCTTCATTTATCACTTCTTTTTGAACAATGG